TTCACATTGCTTCTCCTGAGATGAAGTAATCCTAACAAGTCTGTACTCCTAATTTTGTTCCCACCCATTAGGCTTTTATCAGTGTAGGCTGTAAGGAACTTTCTCATGTCTTGGTTTTACACAGCACCTAGTGCAGCGAAGTCCCACTACTGACTGAACCACCTGAAAAGTAGAATATTAATGAACAAATAGAAATGAATAGTAAGCAATAATGCCTAGGAGAAAAGCAGGGAATTCATTGACTTTCTGTTCAAAACGGATTTAAGGTGTGAAGGAACTATTGTGACTATGAAAAATGGATGAACTGTAAAACGAAGACCATAAAATTTGAACCATCTGTTCATTTATTGTAGTCAGTAATTTCTGTTAAAAAGCATCATCATTTACATTGTGATCTAATTTTAATAAATGAAAGTGTTGGAGCTTTCAGCACATCCCTAAATAACTCCATATAATAGTTAATTATTTGCATCATTAAAAATGTTGCCTTGCTCATATAAATCTATCCAACTTAGGCTGTCAAACACAGGATCTTTGTTATGCTTCTTACAGCCCGAAGTTTAACAGAAACGTCCCGAGTCTTAAGTCTGTGATAAAGTGCCAAGGAATGCAGCCTCTGGGCTTTATTAATTTTATTCAGTATTTATACAATACATTTATACTTCCTGGCTTCCAAGGGCACTGTCAGGATGAGGCTCCCACCGTGCAAGCTTCCGTGCAAGCCCAGGAGAGCTGGTCCCATCTTAAAGTTGTTTTGGGCCAGAGAGCAGTGTGGATACATCACCATTCCCATCTTCACCCTCCTCCTCTGCCTGGGCACCACAGGGGACAACCCCCATCATTTTATGTTACTGTCTGTTCTTCATCCTCCYTGTCCTTCTCTGTGCTGACCTCAGCCATGGCAGCACTGAAAGGTGTCCCCTGGTTGCTGCGCTCAGGGTGAGTGTATGGATACAAGGACATTGGATCAGCATGCCTGGCACTGGTCCTGAAGGGATTAGTGGCAGCTCCTTGTGCCACTTTTCTGTGAGCACCAGGGCCAAGGTGGGTTGAAGGTCAGCAGAGCATTGGAGACCACAAAGCCCTTTTCCCAGGATGAGGGGTGGCAAAGGGAAAGCATGAAGATGCCCCCTCCCCATCTCAAATCGCCTAGCTTAAGGATAAAAATAATTTCACTCCTCCTTTTCTCCCTTGCTCAGCACTGGGCTCTTTTCCCAGAGTGGATTTTTAAGCTAATTTTGAAGGAACTCTTTCCTCATGAGGCAAAGAAGAGGCAGGAGATGTGCTCTCTGACATGTGCTGGCATGTGCACCAGGGCTCTCCTCCTCCAAGCCAAATCCTGGCAGTGGGATCTCCAGAGAATTGAGTGGGTCTGCTCCAGCGGGACGGCTCTTGCTTGGGATTGCTTCTTTCTTCCCTTTTTCCTCAGAAGAACAAGGCAATAACGAACAGAACCACAGTCCTGCCCAGAGGCCACAGTTGGAGACAGGAGGTCAGGCCTGGAAAAATAAATATTCAGGGTCAAGTATGCTTTGGATAGACTAGATGAGAGGGGCTTGGCGTGTAGGGAGGAAGAAGCTATTTGTAGCAGTTGGAGTGTTGGCCGTGYGAGCCGCAGTGTGGGAAAGCAGGCAAACGAGCCCAGCAGCTTCCTGCTGCTGCGGGCTTTCAACACGGACACGTTTTTCAGGTTCGCCTCACACAGCCCTTTGGGGAAGTGTTCTTGTCTTTGAAACGTTTATTTTGGGACTCATGGGGAAGAGGAGGCCTGGTTGTCTTCATCAGATCAATGAAAAGCTCTTTTATCCTCCTTCCACCCCGACTCTCCCTCATTTTTTTTTCTCATTTTCTCATCACAGAAGCAAATATCTCTCCTCAGTTTTCTCTCTCATCTCTTCACTTGACCTGTCACATATTACATCTGCTGGTTTCCTCACATCTCTCCTTATTTGTACCCCTCTTAATCTCTCCTTAGGACCCCTTATTTTTGATGCAGAGCCCTGTCAGCTCCAGTTTTTGCCCTAATCACCTCCTCTTTTTCTGCCAAACGCACTTTCACAGAATCACAGAATGGTTAAGGTTGGAAGGGACCTTCTAGACTCATCTAGTCCAACCCCCTGCTCCAGCAGGGACATCCAGAGCACAGGGCACAGGGTGGAAGCCAGGCAGCTTTGGAAGATCTCCAGACTTTCTAGATACTTCCTTGTTCTTGCCTTTCTCCAGTCTCTGTATTTAGGCTTTTTTACCCCATGTTCCTTACCTCTCTCATGCCATACAAATGCTGTATTCCTGCCATCCATGGTGTACAGATGTTCCTGTCCACCCACACACCTCTGACTGCTGCTGAGGAGTCACTTCTCTCACCTRTCCCTTTGACCACATCACCTGCCTCTTCACATCCTCCAAGGGCTCCCTCTTTCTCATCAAACATCAGGTATCAGTGATCTTCACAGCCCGCCGTGGGGTTTGTGGCAGCAGTGGTGTGGTGGAGGCAGCCCCTAGGTCCAGTGAGGCCGCACTGACAGGCCCCATGTCTCACAGGCCACTTCCAACCCTGTGGACATTCTCCTAGGGCCCTTCTTGTCTCACACAAACAGCCCTAAGGGTTTTTCAAGCCATTCTTTGACATCTGATCTTCATACTCCCTTTTGCCTGCGAAGGTGCCTGGTGGCAGATAAGACGCGGGAGCACTGAGTTCTCTGGAGCTCCAATGTGCTTCCTCTCCCTGGTGTTTGGCTCCTCTGCCAGCCCTGGGCCAGCGGCATCATCTTCCCAGGGCCAGGCAGTCCCAAGGCTTTTATCTGCCCAGCGCAGAGTGTCCCACCCGTGGTGGTGACACCCGATCATTTTAGTAATAATGATGGTAACAAGAACAGAAGAACATGTAACAGTCCTGTGCTTAGGGATCACAACAGCTTAAGTTACGAAGAAACAGCCCACACAAACTCTAAGTTTTCTCCTCAAAGGAGGCTTAGCTCTGCGAGAAGATGGAAGCGGGGAGCAAAGGACTGTGACTTCATGCCAGTTTTCCTGGGRCATGAGGGCAGAGGCCACTTGGGGCTGAGTTGAGGGCTGCCCCCTTGATGGGGGATGCCTCGGGAGGTAGATAAGCTGGAGATATTGCAGGCTGGTTGCAGCCATGCCCACCTTGAGACACCTCCTGCTACCTTAGCCGTGGTACCTGCCTAACCCGGGATGATGTATGCYACTCATGGAGGAGGTTGCCAGACTGAGGGTCTCCTTGGGGAAGGGCTTACAACACTCAGGAGAACATTTTCCTCTGCTGCCTGGACTGTTGGAAGGCTGGGATAAGATCAGCATCTGGTTGCTCAGGTTTAGCTTCAATTTTTCATTTTCCAGGAGCATTTTTACATGCAGGAAAATGGCATTTTTGAGCCTCTGTTTTGGAGCTGCTGTATTCAGGTTGGGCTGTGTCTGCACACTCATTTCCACCATCTTTCCTGAACGTGACTAACTCTTTCTGTCAGTGCTAGGTGACCAAGCATGTGTCTGAAAATCAAACAGGATCACTTACCACATTTCCTGCTGCTCCCTGGCATGTCCAGCCTGCCGCAGGCTCCCCCGGCTGATAACATCACATGGAAAGGTGCTGACGTATTTCCTTGCTTGGGACTTCCAGAAGTCACCTCTGCCTAAAGTCTTAGAGCTCAATCTATATTTAGCTCTCTTACGGGCTCCTCCTTTGGCCTTGGCCAGTCATTTGARCTGTCCTCTGTCCCATTTCTCCATCTGCTGTAGGGACTGCTCCTTTCCCGGTCTGCAGAGCTCTTGTGGGACTGTAGCACCGGAGCTTCTTGGAGATCACGGAGTGAAACAGTGTTGTCTTTTGGCACTCAGGATTTGTTAAGGTGAGAGGACCTTGACAATATGTCTGATCACATCTAACTTCTTGGGTGGAAAATCACATGTTTTTGTCTCTGTTGAAATGCTCTGTAGTCTCCCCTCTGTCCCCACGGTAAAGATAACGTTAATTCCCCCCGTCACGGAGACAATACAGCCTTTTACCCAGTTGTAGCCCAGGTGGCATAAGCAGCTATTCCCTGAGCAGATAATACCTCTGGTGATCATTCCCACAGAGCAGTGGTTTCATTCCCTTTAAATTTAGAGAGAGATTTTGAGATTTATTTGACAGTTCTGTATGTTTGGCTAAATGTTCAGAGCTCTGTGCTGATTAGGCGTGTGTGATTGATTAGGGATATGTGATTATATGTCTATATATGAGAGAGAAGGATTCAGATATACCTCTAGATAGGTGATATATGTCCGTGTCTTTCTGTCCCTTGTTAATCTCTCCTGAGGGTGGCTTGCCAGCGTGAGGTGTTAATGCTCTACAGGGGGATTTGGGATGCCCTGTACAGCCTGTGCAGAGAGATGGGAGGAAAACGTTTTCCCCAGGCTCCTTTGGAGCCCGTGGCTGGTGGGGATAGTGAAGGCAGAGGCGCCACAAAGAGGCAGGAGGGACTCGCAGCAGTGCTGACCTCCTGCTCTCTGCCCCCATCCTTCTCCCTGTCTCTTGGCCAGCCTTGCTGCTGCAGAGGGCAGCGAGCACCTTCCTCCGGCCGGTGGATGTGACTTTGCAGCATCCTCCTGGCAGCCCCGCGACAGCTTCTGCCTGCGTCAGCCGCAAGCGGCGGGGCCTCTGCTGCAATGCAGCACAGCACCCGCTGCCACCACCACCGCCACCACCACCGCCACCACCRCCGCCACTGCCACCGCCACGCGGGGCTCCRGCCGGTGCCGTAGGAGCCGCCTGCCCCCGTTCCCTGGCGCTGCCCGAGGTTTCGGCCCGTCCCCGGCGCGGCTGGCGCGAGCAGCAGCGGGTGGCAGCGCCGCCTGGCACCCGCCCGGCCTCCCGGCGCCRCTGCCCGCAGGGGACGGCGGCCCTTCCACGCTGCGCTTCCCTCCAGCGCTGCTGCCGCATTCCAGGCGCTTCCCGCTCCGCTGCCGCACGCGCTYGCAGCGCCCAATCCAGCCGGGACGCGCCGGGCTTCCCGCAGCCCAAGGGAGAGCACCATGGAGACGCCGGTGGTATTTTTGCTTTGCCTCTCGGTTTTCCCAGGCATTTCCCAAGGCAGGGTTGTCAGAGAGGAGGAAACTGGGTTTGCGGAATGTAACGTGTTCTTCTCCGGACGAGTCCCACCAGAAGGATTTTCCGAGCCCTTCCACGTGAAAATCTGTCAGCAGTACAACAAAGAGCCCCGGTTTGCAACACTCTACAGCACTAAGGACAAAATTCCTCTCTATTCAGCTTTTAAATATACCAAAGCAGCCCAAAGTGAGGAGGAGGACTGGCTGGTTGAACCGCAGGTAAGTCAACCTTTCCTTTGCTGTAATTTTATTTTCCTCCACAACATTTCCTCTGGGGTGAAGGTATTAGCTGGGGATGGGGTTTTGTCAAGGAGTCAAGAGCTTGTGGAACTGCTTTTAATATTAATTTACCACAACCAGCCTATTTTTGTGCTTGGAAGTGATCAAATAGTTCCTCATCCCACAGAGATTGTATTGAAAAGTGAGAGGCTGCTGCACGCGCTATGGAACGTGGTAGGAAAAGAAAAATCCTCTTTTACCCTATAGGATGTGTTTGTTTTCTGTGGGGAGCTGTCACAGTCAGGGATAACAGGGTTAAACATTTCAGCGTGGAGCTGAAGTTTGCTCCGTTGCCAGMGTGATCCCGGTGTTGATAAGAGCCCTTTAGCTTCATTGCACAGAAATAAAACATACATTTGTGGCTCACCGAGTTGGCACGGCAGCTTTTTGTTGTGTCCCTCTGCCGCAGATAGGGAAGTGAATGACTGTGTCCTGGAACAGCGGAGTCAGAATTGTGCAGTATGCAGAGAATGTCACTACAGCCCCAGTGAYGGGTTTACCCAGGTCCTTCAGGCTGTTACATTTAGAGGCAAGCCTTAAAAACTGCTTGTGCCCTACGAGAAGCAGTACCCCTTCCCTGAGATTTTGCAAYATTGCAGTTATTTGAGCAATGAGCACGGGAAAGATGGTAGCAAAGGCCGACCTCCCCTCGGTATTCGGAGCAAGAAGGAATGTCAGGATGGGAAGGTGCTCGGCCGGACCATAAACAGTCATGGTATTAGAGGAGCATGTTGTGAGCRGGGCCCTCGTGTGCGAGGTGCTGCCAGTGCTCAGGATCAAAGCTCATCCCCATCCCAAATGAGCGGCTGTTGCCTGTTTTCCTGCTGGGCTGAGGAAATACTGAGGCTATAATCACCTCCCACAAGGTCGCCGAAAGCAAAGGCGGGGATCTAAGGCCCCTGGCTTTACCTTAGACCGTCTCCCTCCTCTCAGGCTTGGGATTTAAATTACAGGGGTTCCTGGGGGCCTTTGGATCTGCTTTCCTTCCACTTTGCAGATGCCCATGGGAGGTGCCTGCTTGCTCTTTTTAAGCAGAGAGAAGCCTTTTTGCAGTCTCTCCTTATGGAGATGGGGAAGCGTGACAGATTCTCAGAGCGCAGGGGGCAGCGAGGCAGGGACAGGATCCGCGGCCCCCGCGGCCGCGCGCGCTCCACTCTGCTCCCTCGACCACTCCGTGTGGCTTCCGATGTCCCTCCGGAGCGGCTGCCCTGCGCGGGTCTCCGACACCGACCCTGGCTCTTCCACATGGCGAGACCCCGCGTTGCACCTGCTAACACAGCTCTCGTCTTTCCTGCTTCAGGAATCGATCTGAGCCCCAGAGTTATTGCTGGGCTCTCCCCTTAGCTGCTCTGACTTGGCTCTTGGGGAACCCCATGGGTTGATGCTTCACTAGGGTCTGACTTAGGCCATCTTGGTCAGTGGTAGTGTGAATAAACAGAGGGATTTGAGGATTTTTCTCCCCTGGAGCAAAGTACTCTGACAAGAGTCAGAACAGTCTTCTGACAAGAACAGTCCCCTGGATTCTTTTTCCTCCTCCTCACTCTTGCTTGCTCATTTTATTCTTTTTCAACTCAAAAACAACCCTTAACCAACACCACTGTCCTTATCTGAAAGCATATACCCCAAACACATACACTCAGGCAGGCAAGATACAAGTTTTACTGAGGACCAGAGAGCTTTGGGCAAAAAGTGCTTTACCCGTGGAGATGCTTCCCAAGCGAGACTTTGCCTTTGGCCACAAGGAAGGGCCCTGGCACGGCGAGCCCAGGGAAGCTGTGCTGTGAATGGGGGGTGTCTTTGCTGTGAGACTGAAGGCACCCCTGTCACATCAGGTTGCATGTTATTCAATGACATGACCTTGCTGTAGCTCTCATTCTGTTAGTCACAGCTTGTGCAGGAGTCCCCATCACCCATTACTGAGTGCCAGGTACCTCCGTGGTGACTGACAGCAGCTGTGAAGTTCAGCAGAGGAGCTGCAGCCCAAGGAAGGCTAGATGATCTCTAGAGGTCCCTTCCAACCTTAACCATTCTGTGATTCTGTGAAGAAAACCAGGAGAAGCAATTTGGCAGAGGAATCTGTCAGAGGAAGAAATCAGGACTGAAAACATCCTAGCAGTCTTTCAGGAGAAAGAGCACCTACACATTCCTTGGGCACCCACTGTGGTGGAGCTGCAAGGGAGAAAGGGGAGAACAGATTTGCACCTGGTCTGCATGTTCTTATCAAGACTAAATCAGGTAGTTAAGACAGCTCAGATGGTCAACTAAATGCACAGTTTGCAATGCCTGCTTTGCAGCATAACCCAAAAAGGTCACACTGGCTGTTTTCTGGAAATCTTCCTGCCCGAGAGAGGCATGACCAGGTACAAACAGGCACACTTGCACAGGGACGTGTGTTTGGGCACATACACATGCACRGACGCAGCCAGCAGAAAGAAATCCCTGTAAAAATGCTCTGTGCATTCGGAGGAGTGACTAAGGGTTGTCACATGCCTTTTTGCAATAGATGGTGATGTAAAGGCAGCGCCTCGCTCCCCGCACGCCTGCCTCCCCAGGAATGCGCCTCTGAGGAGCGACTGCCAAATGTAGCACTGAGGCAGTAGCTGGATGGGCAACGAGAGGAATGTCATCACCTCCCACTGCTGACTGGCAGCTGGACACTGGGACTTAATTCAGCCATGGAGATTGTGAGAAACTAGAGAGCAACGRGAGTAGGTTCATAAGGAGGGCGCTGATGTGGTGCCCCAGGCTCAGGTTTGAAAACCTGTTGTGCCACAGATTTCATCAGGGGTCAAGAGCAAGTTGCTTAGGTGGGTTTCGCCTCATCTGATGTCAGTCAGTTAAAAACTGTATTTATGTCTGTCTCTGTGTTTTAGGAATGGAAAGTTCTGGAGATGCTTTTTCTATCCTGAAACACAATAAGCAGGATGAATCTCTCCCTCCTTTCGTTTACTTGCTGACTGGCCTCAGCTAGATGACCAAGGTGGCCTTTGTGTCCCCCAGCCATAGACCTTGTCTGATGCAGAGGGCTGCATCTGAGCTGCTCTGCTCATCTCCCTTGACAGTCAGTCAGTCAGGAGGAACGGGTACTTCTAAGGCACCTCCTACATCAGAAACCTCCATGTGAGATGCACTATGTCTAATCCCTGGGAAATGAATCCCACACTAGGGCTGGATCTCCACTGCAATCAAAGACGGGAGTGAGCCTGAGGCAACAGGGAGGGAAATGCTGTGGAGTGGGATGCTCATGTTTGCCTGGGATCCTGAGTACTAAAGTTGGGGAGATGGGAGCTAACTGTCCTGTGCTGTTAGATAAGACTTGACTGAAACTACCTGGCAAACATCTAGTGCCTGCCTCAACTCTTCAGCTGTTGCCTGTGATGGAAACTTGCCCTTAATCTTGCTCTGCCCCTTCTGTAAAATGGTAATCCTCACCATGTGTTTTGCAAGGCTGAGCACATATAATATCGTTAGGCTGGACTCAGGCTCGTATAGGTATTTAGATATCTAATTTGTTCTTAAATCCGCCCAAGTAAGGTGCTTATATGTGTGCTTGGATCTTGTCCTTGGCAACTGCAGCTTCTTTGGACAGGTGGATTCATGGCTGGCTCYGTGAACACAGATGTGCTTGGCCTGTGCCTCAAACCTGTGCCTCAAAGGCAGATCGTGTCCAGTGGCTGGGCAGCTTGTCCTTGGGGCTTGGTTGGAGGAGGCATCGTGGAGAGCTCCGTACCACGAGCTGCTACAGCACTGCCTGGACACAGCCCTGTGCCCCGTGCTCCAGGTGACCCTGCGTGTGCAGGGGCTTGGATTAGCTACTGCAAAGCGTACTGCGAATTATTCTCAAGCATCAGCCCTTATGTCACGGCTGCTTTTGTTTTCTGATGTATAAACAAGGCGAGGCCACGTTTTTCATGTTCTTTTCTAAATGCACCCACACCATCCCAATGGTATGTGCGAAATCCTGCAGCTGAACAGGTAACTGGAGGCATATTTACTTAAYAGGCGTCTTAAAGTTTGCATGCAGTGCCTCATAATCAGAGAAATTTAAGTTTATACCCTGTGCTGAATGTAGGCTGGGAATCTCTGCATTAAGGCAGAGATGACTAGTCTCGGGTCTGCATCTTTTTGTGGTACAGCACCTSCACCTCCCTCTGTTGTTTTTCTTTTTTTTTCTCATTTTGGAGAAGGCTGCAGGACCCTGAATCGGGAAAGAGGCCACAGTGCCGATCTGCAGAGGGAGTGAGGGTGGATGGGTGCCCTGAAATGACATTATTCTTTAAAGAAGCAGTTCCCAGACATGGAAACTGCGCCTGGGCCCCCTCCCACCTTGCACRTACTGGGTGATTAAACGCACCGGGAGCATCCCCTGCCTCACGACACAGCACAGGCATCTCAGCAGAACGGGGCAAATGGGCAAGTCCAGGAAGGGCTGTGATTTTAGGGGGTGCAGCTCAACAAATCTGATCTTGTCAGGCAGCTCAGTCCACAGGGAGAGGTTGAGGACCCAGAAAAAGAGGGTGCAAAATAAGGCAAAGTGTAGATTAAGTTGTATATTTAGAAAAATAAAGACTCGTGCACCAGCAGGTCAGAACTTGGGTGAGGCCTGTGATCCTTTCAGTCCTCTAGCGATATGCACCAGATCACAGAGTCACAGGATGGTTGAGGTTGGAAGGAACCTGGTGRCAGCCAGTCAGGTTTGCAAGATCTCCAGAGAAGGAGACTCCACAACCTCCCTGGGCAGCCTGTTCCAGGACTCTGTCACCCACACAGGAAGGAAGTTCTTCCTCACATGCATAAGGAACTGCCTGTGTTTTARCTTACACCCATTTCCCCTTTCCCATGTCCTGTCACTGGCCACCATTGAGAAGAGTTTGGCCCCATCCTCTTTACATTCTCCCCTCAGGTACTTATACATATTGATCAGATCCCCTCTCAATCTTCTCTTCTCCGGGCTAACAGGCTCAGCTCACTTAGCCTTTCCTTATACAAGAGATGCTCCAGTCCCCTCAAAAAAAGGGCTAGAAACCTCCCAGCAGGTGTGTGAGGAGATGCAGTCCCTGGCAAAGCTTGTGTTGCTGACACAGTGCCCAGCCTTGGTGCAGAGACCTCCTGAGCTCTGCAGGAGCGAGGCAAGAGGCCAACAAATAAGAGTCAGTCTCCACAACAAGGGTGATGGGAGCTACTATCCTTCCAGCGCTGCCTCTTTTACACCCTTTCTCAGCAGAAGGTGGCCAAGCCATAGCAGCTATCCAGAAATAATGCAGGAAGCTGGGGGACCAAACAGGTGCCAACCTTCTGGCTGCCACCCTGTGCCCCRTGCCCTGGGTGTCCCTGCTGGAGCAGGSGGGGTTGGACTAGATGATCCCTAGAGGTCCCTTCCAACCTCAACCATCTTGTGATTCTGAAAGGTCKCAGGGATGTAAATGGTGGGAACCATCTGCTCAAGTGCATTACAGAGGAGCCAAGGGACTAAGAGGGATGAGTGGAGAGTGGCTCAAGTAGAGCATGAACTGTCTGCCATATCCGTTTCCCATACAGGTACTATGCGGTGCAGTAAACAGTCTCCAGGCGAGGAGTAAAGACAGCAGATTTAATTGGGAGTCCAGGAGTCCAGGGCCATGGCCTTTGAGCAGACACCACATGAGGCAGAGCCTGCAGAGACGGGCTGCACCCCTGAATTTCTCCCAACACACAGAGCCTCTAATCTGAGGAAGAAAATTACAATGCRGTGCACCCCTCAGGAAAGGGGGCACACGGTGCCAAACAAGCAGGAGTGACTAAGGGCAGAGAGAGCAGCAGCTTTCTGAGAAAGCCCTGAGCGCACCGTGGTGTTTGAGAGCTCCTGCTCCCACTGCTCATTAAGGGATGCCTGGTGCAGCAATTACTGCTTCCAGGCCYGTGGTTCAGGAATGGGAAACGAGCACATAGCAGAGATTCCACCCAAGCTGCAGTGACAGCCTCCCTGCCCTTGCTGCCCTGGGGAGGATTGTGGTCTGTGAGGGTGAGGATGACACTGTTCATGACAAGGCCTGCGAGCGCCCTGCGAGCTCACTGCAGAGCCTGYGTTCAGGACTGTGAGGGATAATTCAGGTCACCTGCCATGCTGCCCTACTTGCTTCTGCTTTCCTACACGATGAATTGAGAGGGGTAAATGCCTTCTCTAGAGCTCTTAAAAATCATGCCTTTTTTTCTTCATTGYCTGGTTTTGAAAGTCCAGCTCATGCGTATTTTAAGGTACAACAGTAGGTGCTTTAATGAGTTGGAGTTGCCACCATCTTTGGTGGTCCTAACTCAAGCCATCTATTCTCCAAAATATCTTCTAGAACAAGCACAGTTTAGGGGCTGCTGAAATTCTGCAGGCTGTGCTGTCCTGCAGACCAAAGTGGAGAACTCTAAGCAGCCCTGCTCTAAACTTGTGTGCTCAGCAGGACAGCTCAGTGCTGCTCATGCTCCAGGGCTGCTCATGCTCCTCTGAACTACTTARAGGAGAACAAGGAAGGAATGCAGCATGTGATCTGAGGAACGCTGTGTAGTAGCAGTTGTGATGGAAAATGTACCTCATGGTCTATTTTACACATTGTTTTCTAGGAAGATAAATSACATCCAGTAAATCTTCTCTCTGCTCTTTCAGATAGATGATCCAGAAAATGACCTGCAGGAGATGGTGCACGAAGCTGATATTGCTGGCTCCGTGGCCAGCCTTGGTGCAAATCAAGCCCTGACCTCGGACTACGTGGGCTCTGGTTATGAGAGAGGGCTGCTGAATCCCAGCTTGCTAAATGAGAAGGATTTCCAGATGGCCACTTACACGCTCACGAATGCTGTCCCTCTGAGCCCATTGCACAGCAAAAGCTGGCACAGAGACATCAGGAGGGTAGTGGAGGAGGCTCTGGTCCCTCATTGCTCCAAGAAGGATCATCTCTACCTCCTTGCAGGTGCAATTCCTTCCAAYGTCCTGGTTAATGGCAAGGTGTCAGTGCCAGAGACCCTGTGGCTGGCAGCCTGCTGTGATGCTCCAGAGGGATGGTCCTTAGCACTGGTGAAGAAAGTGAAAGAGGAAAACAGTCTGGCAGACCTAGYGGTGGGAGAGCTGGAGCAGCAGCTTCCAGCAGGAGTTCAGTTGTTCAAGGGCAACTGTGGGGAAGATAACCCAAGTCAGGAGAAAATGGAAGCAGTGCTGCAAGCAGTTGCTCTGATCCGCTCTGGAGAGCAAGGAGGAACAAGTGACAACCAGGAGGCCAAGGACAGTGGCTTTGTGCGAAAAGTGGCTGGCATCATTGCCACCCCCTTCATCAAACTCCTGGAACTCCTCATCTACGTGTTCGTGGAGCTGGTGAAATTTGTGTTTCGCTTTCTGTGGCTTGTGGTCAAGCAGGTGGTCAGTACTGTTCTGAATGGAGTCAGCAACCTGTGGAACGGGGTGGTTTTCTACCTCACGGAGATCAGCAAGGTGCTCATCAGCATCCCCTGTGATGTGGGGAAGGTCATCGTCAACATCCTGCAGGGTTTTTGGGGAATTGTTCAAGATGTTGCACTGATCACGTACAAGGTCCTGAGCATCCCCATGGGATTTGTCCTCCACCTTGCTGCTTTCCCCTATTACACCATCTGTGCCATCCCCTCCCTCCTCAAAGACATAGCCACTGGGATCGGTGGCACCTTCTCGCTGGTTATTGATGCCATGGGCACCCTTCTGCATGGCTTTTACTACCTTGCTGCTCACATAATCAAAAGGTTTGTCCCTAAGGGCTCCTCTGATGACTGATGAAAATTAAAAATCAAAGCTGCAAAGACAAAAAGCGGAACAGGAGTGGGGTAATGCTTTAAGATACGTGGCCAAATGCTGTCAATTCTGTTCTGATATTTATTGTAGTGACATTAATAATAATGAACAAATTGGGGAGTAACAGGGAGGGCCAAGGTAACTTCACTTCGGGACACCACCATTGTAACTTAAGTTCTACCTATTTTAAAGTATTTGAGCTTTATGACTGTGGGTCACAGAGCTTCTGTGATTTGTGAATGTCAAGTTGTTTCCTCTGGGAGATACCTTCTTACTGTGGTACAAAGTTATTTCTTTCCAACTAAGATAACACTTGGACCTATGCACTGGCACGAACTCTGCAGAACCACATTCCTGTTAGGGAGAAGAGGGTAGTAAGGGGAGGATTTTAGTTGCAAAGTTTATTTTTAATCATGGAGAAAGGAAAATGATGTTAAGGGTGAAAGAACTAGAGGGTTGGTAAATGGTGGGGAATGGTAGGCAGCAGGGAGGGAACATGGGGCTAAATTCTGCTGTTTGTTGCACTGCTCATTTCACTGGGGTTCCACTGGTGGAGCCCAGGGAAGAGCTAGGCTGGGGGTATTTTATCTGATAGTTCTCGAGCCTTGGCCTTTCAAGGCAGCTGAAATCACATGGGTCTTGTTTTGAGGAAATACCAGCTGCCAATTCTTTCATGTAGTGGGAAAATACTTTCCCTTAGCCATACTAAGCTCACTTTCTCCAAACCATTCCTTGCTCTTTGGTGACCACTAAAGGTCTAAATTCCAAAGTCCTTGTTCTAGCTGGCCTGCTCCAAAGTCCAGAWGTGAGATGTGAGTCAGGCTTTTGGCTTTAATTCAGGGGCCCATGTTTCAGTTACCGACCTGTCTTGCCTCCTTTTAGAGCTGACACTTCAAATATACAACAGTGTTTATGTGCCTGAGATCTGTGCGAGATGATACCCAGGCTGGAAAGCAGCAGTGTCACAGTCATCCTTCTTAGGCATGCTCTGGATGTGCTCCCATGGGGAAAATGATCCCACATTTTCCTCCGAGACAGTGGAAAAGTGGCCCTGCCTTTCTCGCTTGTCTAGATCAGAGCACCAGTGAAAGTCCTTAGGAACAAGGAGACAAGGAACACAGGAAAGATATGCGGGGAATTTTGCTGCTTTCACACTGAGGGCTGTCATGTTTTTCTAAACTCCACRTGGAGAGCAGGCAGCCTAGAGCATGGGCAGGACTCTGTGCTAGGAAAGGTAGGTGGTTCTCATTGGAGCTGTGTTACTTCCCAGCAAATTGAGTTATCTGAGGATCCAGACCTGTGCCATGCCCAGAACTTGGAGGAAGTTAGTCCTGGCATCGGGAGGGGAATGGCAAAAGGAATGGAAGGCTCATGGCAAGTTAGTTACACTTGGAGGTCCTGCTGGCACTGATGTGGCAGGCAGAGGACTCCTGATCCAAGACAAGGAGAAAGGTCCACATGGCCCTCAGTGCCCAGCTCAAACAGAATYCTAGCAGCTCAGCCACTGGTAGATCTGGGCATCCTCTGGGCATATTTACTTTCTGAAACTGAGAAGGGAAAAGTGGTTGTGTTGCCCCTCTCTCATGTGAGGATCATTGACTGCGAAGAGGAAGAAGAGGCGAGAGGGAGACCTAGAGCACAGCACTCATTCTCTTGCATACCAACCTCCCTAGTTAGCCCGTAACTCTCTCCACAAGCACTTGTTTGTGCCGGGAGGGGACACAGCCCCTGTTCCTTACTGCTTCACCAGAAATAACGCAGCCCTCTCCGATGGCAGCTGGGACTCCTGGGCACTGCCCACATCTGAGACACCAAAGCTGGGGTGTGTATGGGGACTTCGCAGGGAGCAGCCACCCGTTATCCCACCCCGGCCGCGCAGTCACAGCTGAGAGGGGAGCAGAAACTCGTGTCGATGGCAGAGCAGGGCACTGTGGCACTGCTGTTCCCCAGGGCGCCACTCAGCTCTGCTCCCTCTTCCCTCTTCATGTTGATCTGCTCCCTGTGCTGTGGACACCACCCGCACTGTGCTGCTCGCGACTAACCCCGAGCTACAGATACCCCATTCCTCAACAAGGCACCTTGGCTTCTCTCCCTCCTACTGAATAAAGAAGGGGCTGAGCTGAAGAGAGCGGGTTCAGGGGGGCAGGAAGAGCTGAGTGGCTCCCACCGGCGTGTCCTCAGTGCGCCGCCATTTCCTTGCTCACCTCACGGGGTGGGCGCCRCAGGCCGCCCTGCCTCCGCGCCCCCTAACAGCCAGCCCTGGCAGCGCTGCTGGAGCCGCCCCGCGGTGTCCCCTGCCACCGAGGCCACAGGGCAGCCCATGGGCCCAGCCCAAGCTCAGGGGAATTCGGGAAGAAGGAGAGGCCTCCTTGGCAGTGGTGTTGGACTCCCTCGAAATGGAGGGCAACTTTTGCGTGTCAGGAGAGTCTAATCAGCCAGACCCAACAGTGTTTTACACTCTGGTCCTTTTCCCTGAAGCTCCCGGTTGGTACAGGGATTTTGGATGAGAGGCAAGTTCCAAGTTGCTGCTCCCAGCAGTCAGAAAACAGCCCYCGGCTGCCTAGGAAAACTCTTTCCAATCCAAATGTTGCTTCTTTGCATACCTGAATGTGCCTTCCCTTCCCTCCGGCCACAGGGCCAGCTGTTGAGTCTGGTCTTGACAGACCTGGGTTTCTGCTCCTTTTTGGGAGTGAGGATGCGTCAGCAGATGAGTGAGATCCTGCGAGCTGGGCTCTGCTCTGGGGGTGTGTGACAGCAGCCCCGGGAAGGAGAGCAACAAGCTCAGGTGTCAGGAGCCGTGACCGGAGCATCAGTGCAGGAGAGCCAGGGTCCCACAGGAGGGCACACGCCTTGGTTGTTGCTGCATCACTTGAGCTGCAGTTGGAGGCAGCTGCGGTGCACATTGCAGCCTCTCCCATGGCCTGTGCACAGCCCCTGGCTGGCCACTTGTCCCAGCACAACCAGCACGAGCAGCGCACGGTGACCACGGTGCCCTGGGAGCTCATGTGTGGTGGCAGCAAGGACGAAATACTGCAGCACACGTGGAGGTCACACATCTCCATCCCCATTGCCACCCAGCCCGGCTGAGTTCGGGCCAGCCCGCAAGCTTCTCTGTGCTGCTCATGATTCATGTTGATCGTGATGATTCTGCTGCAGCCACGGTTTTTGCTTGCAGGCTGGGCAGTCCTTTAAATCTAGGGGTCTGCAGTGCTGTAGGACTTGGGCAGAGGTTGAGTGATACAATTAAAATTGTTTTAGCATGCTCAGGTTTCAAACACTAAAGAACACAACCAGCACAGGTCATTTTTTCTCTTGTGCTGCATGTCTGAGCAGGTAATAGGAAATTGACCTAAAACACTGAGTAATTATTACAGAACAAGCAACATCCTGCTATAAACTAACTATTATTTGAGATTATCATTGCCTCGGCATGACTTACAGCTTGTGAGCTCTATTCTATCCTTGGAAATGTATGGCTTTAACAAAATAAAAGTTACTTTTCCAAAGAAGGACTCATATCACATTTCTCTCACACTTTCCAAACAAGATAATGTAACCTATAGATCTCTGACTAATCAAGAAAGTAGCAGAAGAACAGTCGTTCTTTGTTACAACTTGACATCTGATATTAATGGCTCTSTTATACCTTTAAAATAGGTTTCCTCTCTCAAAGCATTTTTAAAAGAGTTAATACAATAAGCTACAGAATGTGTAGGTGAAAGCTGGGCATTTATAGGCAACAAGTTCAGCTCTGTATATGCTGAAAGAGGAGATTTCATTTTGAGATATGCAGCTACTAGTGAGGTGGAAGATGATGAGCCACTTCAGTACAGAAAAAAAACTCACATCATGGCAGGATGCAAAGTGCTGTCAGCATCTCAGAGAGCATGGGGAGGCAGGACTATGCCTAAACTGTATGGAGCGGGGACACTTGTCCACCCCTCACCTCTTGCAAAGAAGCTCTGCAGGTCTCTGGCCACCAAGTGGCTGAGGGCATCTGCTCCCAGCTGAAGAGCAGCACAGGGGTCCTCACCTCCCCGCCAGGGCTTACGCTGACCTTTTAGCATAAGGAGCCATGCAGTAGATCAGGAGCATTGGCTGAGCAATGAGCTGCCCTCCTAGACTGCCATCGACCCAGCGACRGGCTGTGTTGAGGTAGGAGGATTAGTGCAGAAAGGGAAGGGAGCTCTTCAGATCATAGAATCATAGAATGCCSAAGGTTGGAAGGGACCTCAGAGGTCATCGAGTCCAACCCCCCTGCTCATGCAGGGTCACCTAGAGCACGTGGCACAGGGCTGCATCCAAGCGGGTTTTAAAGATCTCCAAAGAAGGAGACTCCACAACCTCCCTGGGCAACCTGTTCCAGTGCTTTGTCACCCTCACAGTGAAGAAATGCTTCCTTAAGTTCCTATGGAACTTCCCATGCTTCAGTTTGAAGCCATTTCCTCTAGTCCTATCACTGTCCACCACTGAAAAGAGGTCGGCCCCCTCCTCCTCCCTCCCTCCCTTGAGGTATTTATACACGCTGATCAGGTCCCCCCTCAGCCTCCTCTTCTCCAGGCTGAACAGGCCCAGCTCTCTCAGCCTTTGCTCATAGGGCAGATGTTCCAGGCCTCTGATCATCCTGGTAGCCCTGCGTTGGACTCTCTCCAGCAGCTCCAGATGAATGGAGAGTTCAGGCCCTGAGCACCCGCTGCCCTGCACTGAGTGCTCACTTTGGCCTTTGGAAAGCTCCCAAGGTTGGCTGGAGTTTGTGGCTGAAGGGAAGGGCAGGACTGATCCTCAGTGCCTGCTTTTGGCAAGTCACCTTGGCTTCCTTTACAGCTGAGAGGGAGAAACTCAGTCTTCTGGCATGCCATTCACATGTCCTCTAATTTGCAACAAGAAAAATSACCTTCTAAAAGAGACCTTTGCTTTCCAGAGGTCATCTAAGAAAGCCTGGGGTGACTAGCCCAGATGGTGGCATTTTCATTTGCAGATACCTCCGTTCAAGCAGATGAACCTCTTCCAGAGGAGTCTGGAACTGTAGTTCCAGTTTTAGAACTGTACAAGTTCCATGTGTGTGACAGGAGCCCTAAACCATGCCTGTACAAAGAGGAGAAAGGCTAAGCAGTACTTAGATGATGAAAATTGGCCCAAATTCACTCATAGCATAAGGAAGACCGTGAATTAAATGGATGTCAGCCAGACTGTCTAGTGCTATGGCACAGGAGATTCTGTGCTCTTGAAGGTGACTTCGATCTATGCTACATTCACCTGGTTTGGGACCAGAGAGAGAAGCCATCCACACACTCACCACAGAGTGATCTGTGGTGCCGAGATCACCACAGCCTGTATGTGTCACAGGTCTTGGGTTAGTCTTCCAGATCACCCTTCTGCTGCCATTGCTCATTTTGGAGGTACTCGTCTCTGCATGCAGCTCCCATCATGAGCTTGGTATCTGTCTTCTCTTGCCTGTCCTCTCTGGACAGGGAGCTGCTCCAGTTCAGAAGAGAACCAAACCCTACTTATTCCCAAGTTATCTATTTAGATTCACCAGTACCAGAAAACAAAAAGGGTATTGAAAAATAMATGTGAGTGTAACTTTTTTGGCCAGAAAAGATTGTCCGAGAGCACAAAGTGCAAGGCGAGTCTGCAGCATGTGTGTTAGTGAGATTGTGATACTGTGAGTTTGGCATGGAATGATTTCTCATTGCTGCACAGTCTTCCAGGCAGTTGGATTTATTTCGCTTTATGAATGTATCTCACACTGGGTAACATCTGCCATTGATTTCAACAGAACTGATGTTTTCAGCCAAGCAGAAAGGCCTACAGATTTTCCAACAGTGTTAATATTACAGCTGGTTGGAAAATCTCCAAATAAATCCATTCTGTCAGAAAGGGATGATTTATCAAGCAGGAATTTTTATGGCAATTAGCCATTTTTAATGGAATTTTTTTGAGGTGTCCAGGTTGAAACAAGAACCACAGTCAGTCAACAACAGTGAATCGTCTGGATTACAGAGCTTCAGGACATTCAATACTCTCTTCTGTCTAAAACCAGGCCTGGCACAGACCATAGCTATCTCCATCTCAGAGGAAGGCTCTTAGGGCCATTGCCTGTCCTAGCTTATATTTCATTTTCTCTGCTTGTAAATGTTAGAGAAGCCTGTTTTGTTCCAATGTGGGAAAAGTACTGAAATTGTAACCATTTTCATGAGAGTAGAAAGCCATTTTCCACCCTGCTCCACTGAACAATCCCAAACCAGCAGCAGGATCCATTGGAAGGCTACAGTGGTGACTTCAAATTCCGTAGTAATTTTCTTTTTATTAAAAACTAATTAATTCACACTGGGCAGAAAATGGATGTTTAGAGCAGATGGCACTGTGTGTTTACTACTGTGAAACTATATATTGTTGTGTTGTTCTAAATGTCTTAGGGTCCACTTGGCAAGAACAGTTTGAGGCAATGGCAGGTGGACAAGAAGACATCAGGGAACAAGGTGGGATCTGGAGGAGCTTTCTGATGCTGGGAGAAATGCAGCAACTAAATGTTTCAGATGTAGTGTTGAGGAGCTAAATAATAAACAGAAATCACTTCTGAGTGGTATCTGCTTGCTTTTGGCACCAAGAAGCCATTGAGAGGAGCAGAGCATCCACAGATGAATGTTGTGGAAGACAGAAGAAGACATTGCTGTCTGGATTTAAGTCRACCAACTTTGGAGATTTAAAATTTCTTCTCTGCAGGTACCAGACTCCCTATGCTTAGTATAAAAATACCACCAAGTTTAACCTAGACATCTGAGCTATATGCCTAATGCTAAAGTGAATAGATCTGTTTTTTCTTTTTTTTTTCTTTTTTTCTTTTTTTTAGCTGATGGGGCTCCTCCTATCATGGACACCTTTTTTTTTTTTTTCTTTTTTTCTTTTTTTTAGCTGATGGGGCTCCTCCTATCATGGACACCTTTGAGGTGTACATTGACGTAAGTCTCCCAAGACATTACATGGCTTGGATGGTCTTTCTCACAGCCTCATGGGAGATTCCTGTGTCACTTGGTCCTTGCACGTGAGTAGGACTGATTCATGGAGACTCTGGAAGCAAACACTGAAGCTGATGGCCAGATTTGGCCACTTGTGTGGATTTGTGTGTGGTCTTGATGAAATAGATGTGATTAACAGCAAGGGTGCTTGAAACTCAACCAGTTGGCCTGGCTTGTGTGGAGCACTCACATACCCTAGAGAACTTGGCCCTCATTTATTTTTGAGTTCATAGAAAACATGCATATTTGTGGGCTAGCCAAGCACATCCTTTACCCCTGAGGCATCAGCAGGGTGTGGACCTCTAGTGTAAATGGATGCYCCTGCACTTGGAAAAACACTGCTGTCTGCAAAACTGAGATGGGTCATTTCGTGTTGAGAAAATGGGCTACCTTCTCATGGATTTATTAGACCACACGTCCTGCTGACTGCAGAGGAAACTTGAACCATAGCAATTTGCGTCCTAACATCAGAGGCGTAAATGGTCTTGAAGGTTCAGCAGCCCAACAGCAGAGAGCTGAGAAAGAAGGGCAGTGGCGCTGGTGTCAAATGGGACGGATGTCAAAGAGGACTAGGGAACAGGCTCCAGAACTTCATAGAGGAGGATAATTTTGTTCACCCCCAAATCCTGCAATGCTACAAATCATCCCCACAAGCCCATTTAGACTGAGACTTTGTGGAGGGGGATGTATCTAGGAACTTGTTCTTTACTTATCTCAGTAGTGTATTCACAAATCTCAATCTTTTTCCATATGTCAGGATRGAATTGCTCAGTACCACGCACAGTCCCACAAAGTGCTTTCCCAGCACCTACTAACATTATCAGGAAGATGGCAATGAGGGTCTAGACTCTCAAAGTGGCAGTAATTTATACCAGGGTCCACTAATTAGAGATAGTGAGGATTTCTTCATCTAAACATCTTCTGTTCCATAGAAAAGACATTTCTGCAAAATTCAAGGGCTTTTTATTTGCTTTTTCATTAGGGAAAGTGAAAGAAAAATGGAATTTAGTTTTAATTTAATAAAATTACTTTCAATTGATCTTGAACATTAGTGTAGTCTGAGCAGGCAGCAGCAAGCAAATGAAACTCTCTTCTGTGGGTTTTTTTTTTTACTGTAACAGAAAACTGCTGGTTGGGCTCATGCAGAGCAAGACATTAAAGACAAGTCAAAAGCAAATGTTGCGGGTCATAAGTGCTAAAACATTCGAGGTGAGCTGAAATTACACTTTTTTTTTGTATTTTCTATATCCCATTTTTGGCTACTTTCTATGCATTGGAAATATTGGTAAACATCAGCCCCATTCAGGTAGAAAAGGAGTGCTTCGGTTCTGGAAAAGCCTTTTCCTGCAAGTCGGGAATTTTCAAATTTTGCTCAGGAGAGATGCTTTCTACCTGGAGATGGGAAGAGCTTCCTGGTTGTTTCCAAGGGTCTGCTCC